TGCACAAAGGATCTTGCATGTCAAAGGTTGTGGACAGCTATTTTCAAGGATGAGAGATGGCTACAAGAAGTTACTGATCACGGTGGCTGTCCTGTCCTAATTGGAACAGGTCTGGATAGTCTACACCATATGAGCCGAGCCCATCCGACTCAAGTGATCCTGCTTCCTGGAAGTTACGAGGGGGAAGAGAGTCATCTGGAAAGTCTGCTACTCGTATCACTGAAGAGCAACTATACCTATAAGAAGAGAAAAGGGGAAATTAAGTTCCCAGGAATTCGTCTTAGGGTTCAGGCTGCGATAAAGCCATCGCAAGAAGTGCATCTGAAGAAGAAGTGCTTAAAGCAATTATTCCAGAGCCCGAGAAGAGAACTTGCTACAAAATTCAGCTTCTATAAAGCTGGAAACATAATATCATTTTCGAGTTCAAGTGTTATCGACATGGGTATTGGACCGACTGAGACTGAGATAGTAGATCTCATATGTGTTATTTATCTGGCGTTGGCCAGAGAAACGCTGAATAAACTTCTAGGTGAGTTCTCATCTTCTGGGAAGCTCTCAAACGAGCTAAAATTCCCCCAGAGCTTACGGCGGAGCGCTGCAATGAAGTTGCGAAAAATCGCTCTTCACTTGGTGGCTATTATCTTGAATACTAGTTCTATATGTTGTTCTTGCTCATTAATTGCCATGCTACGCGGTGCGCGGGAAGAACAAGAGGTCGTCCGTACAAAGAGAAAGGCAAATTAGAAGTTAACAAAAGACGGAAAGGTGCTTTTTGAAGAAACCGTACGTATGTACTAGTGAAGCAGAACACCACTGAGCTGGTGACGATTATCGGCTTGATAGCTTGTTAATTTCTATATATCGATTTCGATAACTCTGGTAAACTCTCATGTATAAAGAAGCTGCAGACTATAAGTATAACCTACAGCATCTCTCAATTAAAGTGCACAGATCTATCATTTCCCTTATTCCGTTCAAGCAAGTATCTGAGCAAATTGTTACAAAAGGATTATTATATTTGTAGGGAAACAGTGAAGGAGGGATTACTCTTTTTATTGAGCTAGTCTGTGGGTCTCCTTGATGTACGCTGTCTGTAAAATTATGGTCTTGTGACTGTCTCTTCATTCTTGCTTCTTGATCAATTTGGATCAAATATAGATCTGCAATTGAGCTATCGTTACAACCATCATCTTTTAATACCAGGATGCAACACTTTCTCAAAATCCTTATCGAATAAAGACCGGCAAG